CTCACAGGAAGAATTAATACGTATTAATCCCATAGGCCACCCAAGAAGGCCTATTTTCACTGGGATTTTTATGTTCTTTTCCCAGGTACCTATTTACTACTAGATGAACAGGAACTGTAGGCGATAGGGCTTGCTCCACATCTTCTCCTTGCTTGAGATTGAATTTGGGTCGTTCAGCTATGAGGCGAAGACGGTACCGCTAAACTATCAAGAGCAAAGTCCGTAAAATGCTAAAAATGGAAAGCCAGGGGACGGAGGAAGAGCTGTGGGTTTTGTAACCTCATTCAGGTGTCTTTACCCACGCTGATAATAAACCTTTAAATAACATCAGTTAATATCAGTCTCTCTCTCTCTCTCTCTCTCTCTCTCTCTCTCTCTCTCTCTCTCTCTCTCTCTCTCTCTCTCTCTCTCTCTCTCTCCCTCTCTCTCTCTTTTCAGGGTTTGACAAGGTTAGTTAAGGATCCCTAGCTTTATTGACAAGCTATTTACAGGTTAAGGATTCCTAATTTTATTGGCAAGCTAACAGCTGTTACCTACATCAGCTCATTTGAAAGCATTTTTATTGTTATGAGGCATGCAAGTAGGGAACAGGATGAAGTTGGAGCCATCTGTGGGCCAGCATTTTCGTTTGATCAACTGACTATCTCGTTGACATCATTATGCTGCAAGAATGTGTTCCATACTTGAGTCATCCTGGGTATATATGATCTCAGATGGAGTGCTGTTCTGGAAAAGGGTACAGCCAGAGTGAAGTTGCTGCTTTCTGCCCGTCTTGTTGCATAAAAGCTTGTTTCACGCTGTCCTCGAAGTGGATCCAAGTGTGGTGCTTTGACAATATTGGCCTTGTACATAACAGTAAGGCCACCTACATCCCTCCTGTGTTGAAGGCTCTGCTGAAATGACAGATCTATCCAGGATAGGTCCAGGCGAGAGATGAGATGTCTTGCTCTGTTCTCTACTCTGTCAAGCAGTCGCATATGAGAGGGGAGGCAGGCAAACCAAGAAAGTGGAGCATACTCAAGGTGTGAGCGTACTTGTGCCTCGTACAGAATCTTGCAACCCCTACTGTCAAGCAGATGTGAGATATGGCGAAGTGCTGTAAGCTTCCTGGCTGCCTTGTTTGCAAGATTTACAACATGGTTCTTCATGGTTAGTTTGGAGTCAAATTTCACCCCAAGGATATCAACTTCTTCTCTAGGTGCCAACACCCTCCCATTCATCCGTACTACTGCACCAGCATTACCATCATATGCGTTTTCTCAGGTGCAAATGTTACTTGCCATCTATTTCCCTAAGCTGATATAGCTCTTAGCTGGTGATTGATGTAGCTTAGAGCAGCTGCATTTCTTTTCTTGGATAAGTGAATATCAGTGTACAGTCGTCTGTATGTGCATGGGATTCTGGGATGAGATGAAGAAGGTCGTTGAAGTAGACATTCCATAACAATGGTCCCAGTACGCTTCCTTGTGGAACACTTGCCCCAATAGGATGTCTTGCTGATTCCGTTCCATTGAGAACTACCATTAGAGATCTACCATGAAGGTAATCACTGAGGAGACATAGCGCAGAGTCTGCAATTCCCAGCGCTTGGAGTTTTGCTAAGAGGCCCTGGTACCACACCCGGTCGAAAGCACCAGCAATGTCCAGTGCTACCACACTGGACAGGAGTGACACTGGTCTGTAGTTACTGATTTCTGCTCTGCTCTTCTTTTTGTGAACAGGGACTACATTTGCCTCTTTCCACAGAGAGGGCCATTTACACTGTACTAGGCAGTGCTGAAAGATGCGAGTTAGAGGTGCTGCTAGCTGGTCTGCACATCTTCTTAGCAATCTTGGGCTCAACTTGTATGGGCCCACAGCCTTTTCTTGGTCAAGCGATTCAAGAAGGAAATGCACCTCCTCCTGCCTTATTGTCACCACTGGCAGTTTTGGCACAGTTTTTGCAGCTAGCCAAGGAGGGTCCCTTGCTGGATCAGGAACTTGCATTTTGGTAGCAAAGTGTTCGGCAAAGAGGTCCGCCTTCTCTTGACTACTAGTAGAGGTGGTCCCATCCTGTCGATTGAGAGGTGGAATGAGTTCATCAGGCAGATAACCTTGTCTGTCCTTGACCAGGGACCACCAGGTTTTGGAGCCTACCCTACCTGATGCTAGGATGTCTCTTATACCTTCTCCATGCTTTGTACTTAGCAGTAGCACCTCTCTACAACGAAAGCCAAACCAATGCTGATCTGTAGGCATCGTCACATATTGCCGGTGAGGAATGTGTTCTTGTTGTAGATTAAGGATGTGTCCAGTGAAGGCTTTCACTTGGTTGTCAACATCCCCTTGGAGAAGAGCATTCCAATCGGTGGTGGCGAGCTCAGAGCAAAGGGCTGGCCAATTACCTCTTTCCCATAGCCAGGTTGTGCGTGTGGACTCCTCACCTCTTTCTGTTGGGATCTTAATTGTCGTAAAAGCAGCCTTGTGGTCAGACGATCCAACGTAGCCGAGGGGTTGACAAGTATAAGGTATAAGGTGTTGGTTGAGGTCACCAACAATTATGATATGTTGACAGTTGTGTTGTAGCAGAAGGGAGTCTGCATGTTGCCACTGAGGTCTGTACATTACACATGCCGTACAGAGGTTCTAGTGTTTATGCAGAGCTTGAAGAACATCATTTCAAGATCAGTAGGGATGGCAACATCAATGTGCTGGGCATGAACACTTTTAGAGAAGCACACAGCAACACCTCCTCCTTGCCATTGCCTGTCTCTTCTCATCCATGAGGTGTAGCCAGCAATTCTTGCAAAATTTTCTGGACTCCAAATCTCTCTCTCTCTCTCTCTCTCTCTCTCTCTCTCTCTCTCTCTCTCTCTCTCTCTCTCTCTCTCTCTCTCTCTCTCTCTCCTCTCTCTCCTCTCTCTCTCTCTCTCTCTCCTCTCTCTCTCTCTCTCTCTCTCTCTGTCTCTCTCTCTCTCTCTCTCTCTCCCCTCTCTCTCTCTCTCTCTCTCTCTCTGTCTTCTCTCTCTCTCCTCTCTCTCCTCTCTCTCTCTCTCTCTCTCTCCCTCTCTCTCTCTCTCTCCTCTCTCTCTCTCTCCCTCTCCCCCCTCTCTCTCCGCCATTGCACGTACTCATATGGTGTAGACTGCTATTACCATTATATCTGCTCTCATTTAGATCGTTAAACCTATTAGGCTTGGCCAGGGTACTGAACGTCATAAGAACATAAGAACATAAGAAAGGAGTAACACTGCAGGAGGCCTGTTGGCCCATACTAGGCAGGTCCTTTACAATTCATCCCACTAACAAAACATTTGCCCAACCCAATTTTCAATGCCACCCAAGAAATAAGCTCTGATGTGAAAGTCCCACTCAAATCCAACCCCTCCCACTCATGTACTTATCCAACCTAAATTTGAAACTACCCAAAGTCCCAGCCTCAATAACCCAACTAGGTAGACTGTTCCACTCATCAACTACCCTATTTCCAAACCAATACTTTCCTATGTCCTTTCTAAATCTAACAAGTGAATGTAATTTAAAAGTCTTCAATCTTTCTTCATAATGAATATTTTAAATGCTATGTTTGATTTGTTCATTACACTGTTGAAATGTTTTCTTTTAACGAATTTATGTCATTCTGTAATATGGTTACAGAATTGACGCTCAATAACCAATCCTTTTGATGTAGGCCTTCTACATGATGTATTAAAGCTGCAGTTATGGACACTCTGGACTTCGTGCTACACTTCTTGATATAAATCCGTCATCTTTCCTTTTGACCACGTTAGCAGTTGTGTCCTTGGTTTAAGTTCTCGTCTCACCATATCCACCATCAATGTCCTGCATTTCGCATATACTGTAAGCCAATTCTACATCATCATTATAATCTTATAACGTGCAAGGTTATGGAACCCCTGTTCAGACCACTCTGCATTTATCTACATTGACACTGCATCTGCTTCCTGTCTTGACCAGATATACAGTGTTTAATCCCTGCCATGAGTTCCACCTAACATGTACTTTGAACAATTATCCCTACTAATCTTTAGTATCATTGCGAATTCTCATGTCACAGTAAACATCCTCATGCAAGAATCATTGATATATATTATAAACAACAACGGGCCCAAGACTGATCCCTGTGTAACGCCACTTGTTACAGATCCCCACTCGGATTTAACCCCATTTATGGACACTCTCTGCTTCCTGTCTGTGAGCCATGATTCGGTCCATGAGAGCACTTTTCCCCCAATGCCATGAGCTGCCACTTTCTTTAACAGTCTTTGGTACGGAACTCTATCAAATGCCTTACTAAAATCTAAGTAAATAATATCAAATTCTTTATCGTGGTCAACAGCCTCAAAAGCTTTACTGAAGAAAGTTAATAAATTAGTTAGACAAGACCGGCCTCTTGTGAATCCATGCTGAGTATCATTAATCAAGCTATGCTTATCGAGATGGCTTCTTATAATCTCAGCTATAATTGACTCTAGTAATTTGCCTACAATTGAGGTCAGGCTTATTGGGCGGTAATTTGACCATATGATATCAGACAGAGAGGAACATAAATCCATGATAACCACATATTAGATAATCAATAAAAGGTTCGTAGGCAACATCAGCAGTGAGAATAAAAGCCGCAGTTGCAAATTATTAAAAGGCTTTTAGAAATACAATAAAATATAATATAAAATACGGGTTAAGTGTAGGAAGAAAGAGATTAGAAAATAATAAGTTAGGAAGAGGAAAGTAAGTGGGGCAGACAAGAGGAAGTTAAGTAAAGGAGAAAAGAGACGGGTTAGTAGCAGCAGAAGGTGTGTGTGTGTGTGTGTGTGTGTGTGTGTGTGTGTGTGTGTGTGTGTGTGTGTGTGTGTGTGTGTGTGTGTGTGTGTGTGTGTGTGTGTGTGTGTGTGTGTGTGTGTGTGTATGTGTGTGTGTGTGAATCGTACGACGGTGAAGACAGCTGGCAATGATTCTGACTATCGCTGAGATTCTCACCCACAGCTGCATGATATCAGATACACTCACAAACACACAAGACTGGGATAAGTTATCATACCACGAGTTACCCCACTCGTTCTCCGCGCCAATACCGAAAGTAAGACGTATATTGTGTAGTGCGTTGCAGGAACTGTCTCAACCAGTTGCGTTACAGCTTACCCTAGACTTTCCTAGTACTCAAAACGAAGCTACTTTTCAAGGCCAACAACATGGGTCTCTACAAAGGAGCTGTGTGTATGCTTCTCGTGGTGTTTCTCTGTGCAGAGAGTCATGGGGACGACAAAGCTGCGCAAGACAATAATCGAGTTGACCTGATCTGCCCTAATTCCGAAGATATTTCTCCCTGTGTCTGCTTCTCCTTTCCTGACAAGACTACACATTTGGATTGTTCTGCAGTTAGGAGCGAGGCTCAGCTGGCCGAACTGTTCTCCAGCTTAGCAGTCCCAGCCTTCACTTCACTGACTATTGAGTACAATACTGATATAAAAGTGCTGAGGGTTGGAGACTTGGGCAACGTCACCTTCCAAGAGATTTACGTCCACGGTGGCGCTCTGGAGGAGGTGGAGAGCGGTTCTCTCTCCGCCAGTTACTCAATCGCTCACAGCCTGGACTTCAGCTCCAACAGTCTTACGTCGTTCTGCTTTGAGGATATAAAACAGTTTACGAGCCTCCTGGACCTGAATCTAAGCGACAATAAGCTCTACGAGCTCCCACAAATCTCATCTCAGACGCTGACCTCCCTCAGTATCGGAAAAAATCCTTTGACATCGCTGTCTCCCTCGGTATTCAGTGACACTCCTTCACTACGAGCAATCTCCATTTTCGGTACAGAACTCAATAACTTGTTCGCAGGTAAATACATTGATATGTATTGCTAATTTTGGCAGAAATGTCTTCCTGCGCGGTCTTAATCTTGTGTTGATCCTCCCACTAGCTAAGCAACTGATGGTGTACCTGTGCTAGGCATTCACACTTCTTAGAAAAAATCAACATATTACACTGAATATAATATACACCTCTCTGTCTATGCTTTTTTAGAAGTTAATGCAGGCAGAATTCTACGAAGATTTACTCACTGGGTGATGTTTGAGGACAAGATGGCCATACCCTTAGAGTTACCAGATTACATGCAGTTGGAAATTTATAAATAGACCAAATGGGAGTTTGAGGGTAATAAAATATTATATTATATTATATTATATTATATTATATTATATTATATTATATTATATTATATTATCAATAAAAGATTTGTTGACATCATCAACACAAGAAACAAAAGCTACAATTGCAAACTGCTATGAACCTTTGTAGAGGTGAAATACTATATAATATAATGGCTAATGTAGGAGGAAAGAGTGATGATAGACTAGAGAATAGTGAGTTAAGGAGAGGAGCACACAATAAACACACCCTCACCACACCATCAGCACATCCACAACCAGCAACACACTAACTCTCCCTACACTCACCCTCACTACATTCTCACCACAGTCACCCTAGGCACACACCCTCACTCTATCCTCAACACACTCTCACCACATCCTCACAGCGCTCACTTCCACCTCATCCTCAACACATCCTTACCAATTTGTGCAAGAATGGTATATAATACCGACAAGATGAAATTAAGACACATGTGCAACATCTGGGTATCTTTATCGTAGACGCTTCGCCATCCAGTGGCTCTTCGCACCTACTCCAAGGTTGAGGGACTGATTACCTCATCTTCTGTACATAGTCTTACTGTCTTCAAGTTATGTCTAGAATTTGTATTGATAAAGCCACTGGATGGCGAAACGTCTACAATAAAGATACCCAGATGTTGCACATGTGTCTTAATTTCATCACATCCTTACCAAACTGTACTCATCCCATCCTCAATACACCCCTCACCTCACCATACTCACCACTCTAATCTCAAATTTCGAAATTCTTATATCCCTCCAGACTCTTCTCTACTTAACTCAAAATAGATAATGTATCCACCAAGAAATTTACCAGGCAGCAATTCATTGCGAATCAAAATTCTGGGAGACAAGTAACACTGTTCTGTAATATGACAGCCAACTCTGTGAGATGACTAACAAAGTTTTGAGAGATGACCAAGCCACATTATAGTTGACAGGCAAAATTCTGGTAGATGACTAATAATTTTGGACGAAGGCCGACACAATTCTTGGCCATAATTAACATTTCTGGGAAATGATCATCGCAATACACAAATAACCGGCACATAGAAGAGAGGGGCTTACGACGACGTTTCGGCCCGACTTTGACCATTTACAAAGTCACAGTGTGGCTTTGTAAATGGTTCAAGCCGAACCGAAACGTCGTCGTAAGCTCATCTCTTCTATGTGCGGGTTATTTGTGTATCGTTTTAGTCACGGTATTGTGCCTTTTTCTGTTATTGATCATCGCGGTCCGGGATACGACCAAAGCAATCATGGGCCAAGATAAATAAATCTGGTCTCCTTTATTTTTCATTGGGCTGCCAGTCTGGGCACCTAGCAGAATACGTGAGCTGGATGAACGTTTACCATCGGTTTTTCAAACCATTTATCAACACTGAAGTTGTAAGATGTTGAAGAGTTTTCATTGTACTTCCCACCTCCAGGACTCTAAGTGTGGCTAATTGGTTTCCCAGAATCCCTTCATAAATACTATCTTGCTCACTTTGTGTTTTTTAATAAATGTATTAATAAAGTTTGTTGCATTGACTTGGTTGGTGCTAGGTTTAGAACACCGAGGTAAAGAGTAGAGGGCTATTGTGATAATACAAAAATTGAGACAAGGTGTATTTCAAGTCAGAATAAAGGTTTGGAAGCAAGGGGCATGAGCTGCTTGGTTCATCTGACTGTCCTATTTAGTAATTTATGTGGAAAAGGGCATTCGAGTACAGTTCAAGGAATTTGTTAAAGGAAACGTTTCGCCACGAGTAGCTTCTTCAGTCTTAATGTGGGACTATGTAATCTTAATGTTTTGGACTGATGAAGCCACTCGTGGCGAAACGATTCCTTTAATAAATTCCCTGAACTGTACACAAGTGTCTTTTTCCACAACTTAAAGGTATCACTCTACCATCTACAACTTGATAAAATATTGTCTGGTATCATCTCGTGACGAGGTCACTCAGCGCCACAGGACTAAGAGTAGGTAATCCTAGTTCATTCTTAACTTGTTTATCTCCATACAGTGAGATTTTTTCTTAGTTTACTCAGTGTTCTATGTTAAGTGTATGTAATGCATGGCAGTGCTACTAGTGTGTAAAAATAGAATGGAAAAAATTAGCAGTACAAAGTGTTTATTGTTCAGATTTTGTACTCTACGTCTGAAAATAGTGAAAGTTTTGTGGGTGTTAGCACACCCGTTAAGTTACTTTATTGCTTTACGTGGATCCTTAACCTACATGTATGCAGCGTCCTAAGGGTAGTGGTAGTCTTAGATGTTAAATTGAGATGATACATAGGAATAAATGGTGCTTGGCTACTAAGCTTTTGGGTGACGCATGGGGGGAGGGGGCCACATATAGCTCGAAGTCAACTCTTGGTGACTAGGATCATGGGTGATCGTGTAGAAATAGTCAAGAATTACTTGTGGCACCAGTGCTTTGCTCTAACGGGTATTATTTGTATTTATGGCTCAAGTGGCTCCAAATTTGCAGCTTGGAGTATCGCCCTCGCACTGGGACCATCACCATTCCGGGACATAACTGAAATTGTTGGGATATGAGTAATACAATTCTGGGGCATGACTAAAATTTCTGAGACATGACCAGAATAATTCTTGGACATGATAACACAATTTTAGGACATGACCAACGCAATTCTAGGACGTGATTTTCCTAATTCTGGGACATGACCTTCGCAACTCTAAGACATGACCTTCACAATTCTATGGTACGACTAACATAAGTCTGAACTATTTCTAATTATTCTGGGACAGGAGAAAAAAATATGAGACACGACAAACACACATGATTATCATAATCCTGGGACATGATTGGCACAATTCTGGAACATAACGGACAGAATTTTAGATCATGATAAACACCATTCTAGGGCAATGAGCAACAATTCTGATACGTGACCAACACACTTCTGGGGAGATGAGCAACGCAATTCTTAGAGGCGACTAACACAGGTCAACTGACTCCACAGGAACATTCAGCACCCTGGCCAACCTGACGTGGCTTAACCTGTCCGAGAATGAGCTGACCCACATCCACACAGACGCCATTCACATCAAGGTGTTCGGGGCCTCGATTCACCTTGACTACAACAGCATCAAGTACGTCCTTCCCGGTGGCATATCGGGTACGTATCTCCTCATTGAAGATACCCAAGAGTTGCACATGTGTCTAATTTATCAACTTGTAAGTTCTTTGAGCCATTTTTCTACATACGTATCTCCTCACTTACTGGCCCATGCGGGGCAGGTTCATGTCAACCCCCGGCTTAGACCATTGGCCCACCCAGTCAGGTCAAATCCACTTAGGGAAGGAGCACGGCATCTGACCCAATAACACCAGCTAGTCAGATCCAACTCACACCCACCCACACCCACTCATGTATTTATCTAACCTATTTTTAAAACTACACAACGACTTAGCTTCTATGGCGGCACTAGGGAGTTTGTTCCAATCATCCACAACTCTATTACCAAACCAGTGCTTTCCTATATCCTTCCTGAATATGAATGTTTCCAGTTTAAAACCATTGATGTGAGTCCTGTCTTGGCTAGATAATTTTTAGCACGCTATTTACATCCCCTTTATTTATTCCTGTTTTCCATTTATACACCTCAATCATACCCCCCCTGTTGAATTCCTTTCTACAGAGTGTAGATTCAGGGCCCTCAGCCTATCCTTATAGGGAAGATTTCTGATACATGGGATCAACTTTGTCATCCTCTGTACGTTTTCCAGTGCATTTATATCCACTCTGTAATACGGTCACCAGTACTGTGCAGCAGCATAATCTAAATGAGGCCTAACCAAGGATATATTGAGTTGAAAAGCAGCCCCCTCAATAAAGATTCCCATATGTTGCATAAGTGTCTCTTTCTTCAACTTGTCGGCTTTCTAAATCATTTATCACAGTTCAGGATATGTTATTAAAGTGAACGTTTCGCCACGAGTAGTTTTTTTTCAGTCCATATGTCGTCGATATCACCATAACATTCATTTCTAACTGTCTTTAGTGAGTAGAAGCAATTTCTTCAGATAGTAGCAACGACATACTGAGTCAGTAGAACCATCACCTTCAGTTCATAGAAGAGTCGTCATGAATTACAGGTGACCTGTACTTTGCTCAGTGAGGACGTGTCGAGTGTGCCCTCTACGGACTGAACCAAGATGCCCTCCATCGGGCAACTTTACCAACAGCTTATGGAAGAATTGAGGATGGCCAAGATGGAGATTCGGCGACTGACTGAGGAAAACAAGAAGATTCGTAGTACTCCTCCTGTTTTGAGTCCTCAGGTCAAAAAGGGAAACTGGTCAGTGGCTGGACAGCATGGAACGAAGTTGATGATCAAGAAGACGATTGGAAAGGTAGAAACGATGAAGAAGAAAGAGACTGCTGTGGAAACTGTTGTGGAAACATCTAATGCATTCTCAGTGCTCCCCGACGAATGTGAGTCGACTACTGGGAACGTCACGACGAACGACACCAAGGAAGATAAGAATATTGTTGTTGTTGGGGATAGCCAAGTTTGGTACATGGATAGGGCGTTCTGCTTGAAGGACAGGAGTAGGAGACAGAGGGTTTGCTTTCCTGGGGTTGGGATGGAGGATATTGTTAGCTGTCTGGATGACATCATGAGAGGTAATGGGAGCAATCCTACTGTCTGTCTCAGTGCTGGAGGCAATGATGTTGGCAGACGTAGGAGTGAGGACATGATTAGCAGGTATAGGTCAGCAATAGAAATAATTAAGAGGAAGGGTGGGAACCCTGTCATATGTGGTATTTTGCCAAGGAGAGGAGTTGGAAATGAATGGTTGTCCAGGGCAATTGGTGTTAATTGCTTGCTTGACAAATACTGTAAGGAAAATGCGGTAACATTCATTGACAACTGGGATCTCTTCTATGGCAGAAATGACATGTATACCAGGGATGGGGTTCACTTATCTAGGTCTAGGGTAGGGGCACTGGCAACTGCAGTGGAGGGAGCTGTTAGGACTTTAAACTAGGAATAGCTATGTGTTTTGGCAGGAAAACAGTGAAGTCCCAGTGTAGTAATATTATGAGTTCTAGGGAAGCTAGTAATAAGCAGAAGGAGGTAGATATTGAAAAGCCAGTGACACTAGGTGATAAGGACAGTAATAGGTTTAGTAGAAAAACAGAAATGAGCAGAAAGGGTAAAGAGAAAGGAGAGTCTTTCAATGTACATTATGCTAATAGCCGTAGTGCTAGGAATAAGATGGACGAATTGAGATTAGTTGCTAGTGCAGGTAACATTGATGTATTTGCCATAACTGAGACGTGGTTTAATTCAAAATGTCGGGACATGCCTGCGGAATGTCACATTCAGGGTTTTAAATTGTTCCAAGTAGATAGAAGTATCGGGATGGGGGGTGGGGTGGCAATGTATGTCCGAGATCGCTTGAACTGTTGCATAAAAAAGGGGGTAAAGAGTCTGAAGTCTGAAGTAACACATACAGAGTCTGTTTGGATAGAATTTTCAGAGGGGCATGAAAATTGATTTTAGGTGTGATATACCGTCCCCCAAACTTAGATAGGGACCAGGGGAGACTACTATGGGAGGAAATTGTCAGGGTCACAAGGCACGATAATGTAGTAATTCTAGGAGACTTTAACTTTAGTCATATTGATTGGAATTTCTTGACTGGGAATTTAGAATCATACGACTTCTTAGAAGTAGTTCAGGATTGTTTTTTGAAGCAGTTTGTGACAGAGCCTACAAGGGAAAATAACCTGCTTGACTTAGTTCTGGCAAACAATGAATCGCTTGTTAATAATGTAGAAATTTCCAAGGAACTCGGTGCTAGCGACCACAAATCAATTACATTTATCATTGAATGAAAGTATGGATAACTCAGAAACAGTCCCAGATTTTCGCTTAGCGGATTACGATGAGCTTAGAGAACACTTATCATCTGTTGACTGGGGTAACGAAGAGAGCTATCAGTATGACAGTTTTCTGAACACTATACATGCTGCTAAAAGAACGTTTATCCCGTATAAAGAAATTAGATCAAATAGAAATGACCCAAAATGGATGAATAATAGGCTGAAATATCTACTAGGGCATAAGAAAGGAATTTATAGGCGTATCAGAAGAGGTGAGGGTCATCTTATGAATCAGTATATTGACATTAAGAGGGACATTAAAAAGGGGATAAGAAAAGCTAAAAGGGACTATGAAATTAAAGTTGCTAGGGATTCGAAAAATAACCCAAAAAGTTTTTTCCAGGTCTATAGAACAAAAGTTAGAGATAAGATAGGTCCCCTTAAAAATAAGTATGGGCATCTTACTGACAAAGAGAATGAAACCATACCATGGGCGGGATTGAACCCGTGGTCAGAGAGTCTCAAAACTCCAGACAGTCGCGTTAGCCACTGGACCAGCTAGCCATACCACTGGACCAGCTAGCTGGTCCACTGGCTATGGTATGGTTTGTTTGCAATCGTGTCATTACGATTTCGTGAGTCAAAGAGAATGAAATGTGCTCGATTTTAAATAATTATTTTATCTCGGTTTTTACACAGGAAGACACTAGCAATATTCCAGTAATTAATATTTGTGGAAACAAATGGTGTAAAATACCGACACAATGGAAATATAAACACATATGCAGTATAATGTGATCATTTATTGACAACGTTTCGCCCACTTAGTGAGCTTTTTCAAGTCACAAACAGATCTACCTGGGTGGAAGGTACGCGAGTATTTATAGTCAGGTTCAGAATGCTGAGGTCAGGTGGAGAATGCTGCATCTGATGATGTACCGGGTGGGGTTATAGAGTCTAAACTCTTAGGTAGCTTGGAAGAGAGATTGGATAGGTATATGAGTAGACCTTCTACAGTGTTCCTCCATTCCTATGCTCTTATGTAGGATAGTGCTGAAGAAGTTTCTTGGCAAGTGGTTCAGCTATGTTATAGAAGCCATTATTCTGGTTGAAGTTGTCGGATATAGAGATAAGCGATGATTCCAGGATTCTTCGGTACTGAGTGTTGTCTTCTCTGGCGATAAGTCTTGAGTTTCTGTAGTTTATTAAATGGTTGTGTGAATTACGGTGTTGTACGCAGGCATTTCTCGTATCGTCAGACCTGCTTGCGTATTGGTGTTCTGAAATACGTGTTTGGAGGTATCTTGATGTTTCGCCCGCGTATAATTTGCTGCAGTCATTAAAAAGGATTATGTATACCCCTGCAGAGGATGAACGCTTGTCCTGTCTATCACTGGTAATGTCCTTGCAGGGGTATACATAATCCCTTGTAATTACCGATATTTCTATCTGCTTGGAACAATTTAAAACCCTGATTGTGACATTCCGAAGGCATGTCCCGACTTTTGGAATTAATCCACACCTCAGTGATTGCAAATACATCAAAGTTACCTGCACTAGCAACTAATCTCAACTCATCCATCTTATTCCTCGCACTACGGCTATTAGCTTAATATAATTTTAAAGACCCACCTTTCTCTTTACCCTTCCTGCTCATATATTTTTTTTACTAAACCTATTACTGTTCTTGTCGCCTAGTGCCATTGGCTTTCCAATATCAACTCATTCTGGAAATATAAACACATATGCAGTTTAATATGATCCTTTATTGACAACGTTTCGGCTACACAGTGGGCTTTTTCAAGTCACAAACAGATCTGTTTGTGACTTGAAAAAGCCCACTGTGTGGGCGAAACGTTGTCAATAAAGGATCACATTAAACTGCATATGTGTTCATATTTCCACTGTGTCGGAATTTTATACCATTTATTTCCATCAACTCATTCTGCCTATTACTAGTTCCCCTAGAACTCATAGTATTACTACACTGGGACTTCACTGTATTCTCGCCAAAACCCATACCACTATCTATTCCTAATTTAAAGCCCTAACAGCTCCCTCCACTGCCGTTGCCAGTGCCCCCACCCCAAACCTAGATAAGTGAACCCAATCCCTGGCATACATGTCATTTCTGCCATTGAAGAGGTCCCAGTTGTCAATGAATGTTACCACATTTTCCTTACAATATTTGTCCAGCCAGCAATTTACACCAATTACCCTGGACAACCATTCGTTTCCAACTCCTCTCCTTGGCAAAATACCACATATGACAGGGTTCCCAC